TTTTTTTTATTTCTGTCAAGTCAAATGTCATTTTATCCCGATTGACATATTTGGTGTATGTTTCAGATTTATTAAATTATAAATGTAAATGAAATAATAATAATAATAATTGAAAATATGAATTTTTACCCGCCTACCACTAGAGTGCGCTCACGTACCATTAGCAACCACTGTACTATACAGGACTGCCGAATAAAAATATTCAGAAAATACACACTAGTGCCTCTGGAAAAATGAAAGCTGCTTTGCAATTACCCCTTTTTCTTGTTTTTTTTTTTTCCTAATTATAGGTTTGACTGTGCTTAAATAAACTGAAAAATAACCAAAAAGTGTTGCAGTGTTTATGTTCAACTTTATGTCCATGTTTTAACATATGAAGAGTTCAGAAATCAATATTCGTGGAGCTCTTCTTACCAAAGGTATTGTTGGTGATTTATGATCAATTTTGACTGGCTTTTTTTTTTTTTTGAGCTGTAAATGCACAAATGCAGGACTTGATGTATGACTGTTATTTAGCCCTTTAGCGATTTGTGAAAAGCCTAACATTTCTAATTGTATTTTATTTATTTCACACAGTTCTAAAATTGGGTTTTTCCTTTTGGAAAACTATCAAAGAGAAAAGTACCCGTGCCCCCGCGACCCGGTAACGGCTAAGTGGAAGAAAATGGATGGATGGACCGATATTTCCACTGGTTGATATAACGTAATATAAATTGCTGCCCTCAGTTTAAATTTTTTTTTTAATGATACAACAATATATAAGTCTTGTCACCACAATAATCAAACATAGTAGTGTCATAATAAATGAAAATCAACCACTTAAACGGCATTCATAAAGACACCATATAATTAGAGAAATCCTACCTGTGTACGTTTTGTCATCTTTGATGGTTGAGAAGAAAGAGAAAAAAGAACAATTTTTAGGAAACATACTTATTATATATATATAATATACAATATAATATATAATATACTTTATATATAAATATGTAAATATTATTTCACTTCCGAATTGTATCATGATATGCTCATATCTCGGATCTTACACGGTTCGAATTTCTTCAAATACATTGTTGCTCCACCAGATGACAGTGACCCAATATCTGGTGATAATTACAGCAACAGTTTGTACACAGAAAAATACCTGTAGATATGTAGATATAAATCTACGTTATATATATTAAAATGCCATGCCTAAAGTAATAATTAAGTAATAAAAAAATGCCAGAAAAAAGTGGCCAGATGCAGCTTTGTAATCGGGCCTGCCAAACTTTTCCAAATTATATAATTGGTTTGTATTGTGATTATACTTCTGCCTTTTCCCTGTAATACCCACGTTTTCCCTGTAGATGGCATAGAGAACGCTTAAAGCATTTTAGCATTTTAGCCTTTTAGCCTTTATGTATGACTCTTTTTATTATATGACTTTTATATGTTATGTCTCCTGACAAAAATCCTGTCAAATTTTAGGACCAGATGTGGCCCATGCCTGGTATAGACCCTCTTAATAGTGTTTAGCTCTGAAACAGACATGGTTGATATGAGAAGGAATAAAAAGAAAATAATATTGAGAAAATATTCCCTTAATTGGGACATTTAAAGCATTACAGTAGTCTAAATGTCATTCCTGGGTGGGTTCAAACCCAGGGCCTCAGGGGTTCAGAGGCTGAGGTGTGGACTCGAGTCGCATGACTTGGACTCGAGTCATCAATTTGATGACTTTAGACTCGACTTGACAAAATGTGAGAAAAAAAAAGAGACTTGCAACTCGACTTGCACTTTAACGTCAACGACTCGTGACTTCACTTGGACTTGAGCCCTTTGACTCGACAAGACTTGATACTTTCTCCAAAACCCAAAGTGATCTGTGTAAATATATTATTATTTTATTTAAAAGGACTCGAAACAGAAACGGCAGGACTTGGGACTTGACACTTTTCAGTCTTGACTTGGACTCGACTCGGACTTTGCCTGTCTTGACTTGAGACTTGACTCGGACTTGAGTGCAAAGACTTGAGACTTACCCTTGACTTGCAAAGCAACGACTTGGTCCCACCTTTGCTAAATACGCTAACTTTATACATCACTAGATCAATTCATTGAAAAGTTTCCCTTCGGCTTTACTTTGCTTTACTTTAGCATTACTAATATGTGTTTTTGAACTTTTTGTTTTGTTTTAACCAACGCAAAAATACACACAGTTTTCAATACTATTAACCTTAAAGGAAACTTACAGAGACAAGTAGGCTTCGGAGAATCCCACTTGCCCAGTTTTGTGCAATGGCTGGTGTTTCTGCCCTCCAGGTTAAAACCAGTATGGCAGCTGTAGTGGAGGGTCGTCCCTTCCACTGGAGGGCCAGGAGGATTTGCTGTAACATGACCATTTTCCAGTGATATCCACACTCTTGGGCACAGGAGCACTGTATTTAAGAAGAATAACACACACACACAAAAAAATGGGATTAAAAAACAGACAGAAGACACATAATAACATACTGTAGAAAATGTTCTTTGATTACTGATTTCAGGTGCATACGACTGCAGTTATCCTCTGATTTATTTTTAACACACAGTGAGTGACTTAAGAATGCGGCTACACCAGAGGTGCCCAATAGGTCAATCAAGAATTCCAGTCAATCGCAAAGGAGAGTGCTGGTTGATTACCATTAAAAAGAAATAGATATTAGCTTGTCCTCATCAGGAACAACCTGATATGTCGATAGGATAAGAGTTGCGGGGTACTATCACAGCAGCTACTCTCCCGAGTGTTTTGTTATTCTTTTTACCCGTTTTGTGTGTGTGTGGGATCGATGTGTTCCCATTAGCTGCCTCTACCTCCACGCTTGCATTGATTCAACATTGATTCATTTCCACATTGTTCTGAGTCTTCTTAACCCTTTCATGCATGACGGTCACTACAGTGGACAGCTATTAAAATGTCATTTTCTATGATAAGAATAGGTTTTGATGGCATTTTAGAAAATGACATTTTAATAGCTGTCCACTGTAGTGACCGTCATGCATGAAAGGGTTCATTTTATTTACCCTCACCACTTGCTGCACTAATATACTCTGTGCCCATATATAAGAAGCTGCCAAGTTGCCACTGAGGTGCTCCGAAACATGGCACCGTCCCCACACACTGCTTCCCGGGCACTTGAAGCTGCCTACTGTTCACTTTGGTGATGGGTAAAAAGTAGAGCTCAGTGTCACAATGACAAATAATTCACTTTCACTTTCTGTGTGGGTGCACACTAACCATCTGGAATATCCTTCCTCCCAATATCTGTAATGCCCAAACCCTAGACAGTTTCGAATCATCCCTCAAAAGCCACCTCTTTAGCATGGCCTTTTCCGCACCTCTCATAACACTGGCTATAATACTCAGGCTTTTCCTTCATCTACTTAGGAATCTAACAAATCGTTGTACCGTTGTATTCATCCGTTTCATTATTGTTGCATTACTGCCTTCTTTATGTTATTTTGTCAAAATCTTTTTTTGTTGCAGCTATAGCTATCCATCCATCCATCCATCCATTTTCATCCGCTTATCCGTTACCGGGTTGCGGGGGCGGCAGTCGCCAACCAAATCACATTGCACCGCACCAACGGTGAGTCCACTGGAAGGTACCAACCGCCCTAACCGGGATTCGAACTTGCCCATGAGGTGAACCCTGGAGTTCCACACCAATGACAGAGACATTGCCTCTGGGCCAAAGCGCCACGCAGCTATAGCTAACATTTTCAAAATAGAAAGTCAATGAGTCAACAGGGCCGTACCAAGTTAAATTAAGTGCCAAATGGAATTCAAATGAGATGCAGTAAAAGCATTGCAATAAAAAAATTGACCACATACGTTTGGAGAGGTTTGCAGAGTAATATAGCTTTGGTGTGTGATGTAAGAATAAATGACTTACAACATCTGCTTTGCTGCATTATGTCCGTCCAAGTTCCATCAGGCAAGCACTTCCTGACCTTGGGTCCAACTATCACACGATTTCCTCGGCAAATGTACTCGATCTCATAATCCACAGGGAGGATCTGCACACTGCGGATCTGTATGGGAGTAGTTGAAGAAGAGAAAATCTTTAGAAACCTGTAGTGTAAAGGTAGGGGGTTTACAGGTCAGATATTTTATATATTGACTGACGTGACATCAAGTCATAATACCCTGTGAGTCTAACCCTCGTGTTGTCCTTTGAGTCTAGGTGACCCGGTGGGTGATAATACACCTTTGTGTGTGTGTGTGTGCATGGCTTGTGCCAACGTTTCCTTATACTGATTCTGGGACATGATGCTAACCTAGGTGTGTACAAAATGCGAAGGACAACAAGAGGGTAAATGGAAAGTGCATTCATGAGATGTTCAGTAGCTTCGATTCAGCATAGTCTGTTTTAAAGGCAGATCCACTCATTGCTCTTAATGGACCGTTTATTAGACAAACTGGGCAGCTAGCAAGAAATTTTCAATTTTACAAAAGTTACATTTTCCATCCATCCATCCATCCATTTTCATCCGCTTATCCGTTACCGGGTCGCGGGGGCAGCAGTCGCCACCCAAATCACATTGCAAAAGAGAGAGCCATTGCCCCGGGGCCAAAGGCCCACAAGTTAAATTTTCATAAAAAAAAAAAAACAGTCCGGCTGTCCATCACAGAGCCACATACAAGGGTAAATAAAAACTCTTCTAGTTACAGTTCACGTCTAGAACAATTTCATCCCCTCATGATATCTGGAAAACGTACAAACAACAAACGAAGACTACAACCTCTCCTCCTGGTTCCACTGCTATGAAGCAAAGGAAAAGCATTGATCTAAACATGTAAATAATTAAGGAGGGAGGTAAGGATGGTCCAAGCAGTTATGGCTTCTCACATTCGACATTCTCAACCATTGTCAAAGAAAAACAAATGAAAAAAAATGGCAAATTTGTCAGTCAATGGTTCGTTCGTTTAACGACGAAGTGTTAGGATTTGTACAAACAAACCTTTAAAAAAACATAGTCACTTAAAAAAAGGGAATTAAGAGGACAGTGGTAGTCGTACGTCTGTTGTGTTGTCCATACCTGTTCTTGTGTTAATCCTCTGTAGCGAATCCCACCATACCTGGGAGGCCGAATTATGGCACAGCCTGGAAAAAAACAAGCGCTTTTGTTCCTTCAGTGTAACATTTGTAAGTTCGATCTAAGACATTTAGACAGTTTAGACACATTGTTTATCCTAACTGTCAGCTGACACACGTTTTCTTCAATCATCATTTTTAACATCTTTCTTCTTTTTTTAAATAAAATATAGTGGAATCAAATAAAATAACTGGTGTAAACAGAGGTGGGACCAAGTCATTGCTTTGCAAGTCACAAGTAAGTCTCAAGTCTTTGCACTCAAGTCCGAGTCAAGTCTCAAGTCAAGACAGGCAAAGTCCGAGTCGAGTCCAAGTCAAGACTGAAAAGTGTCAAGTCAAGTCCCAAGTCCTGCCGTTTCTGTTTCGAGTCCTTTCGAGTCCTTTTCAAACAAAATAACAATATATTTACACAGATCACTTTGGGTTTTGGAGAAAGTCTCGAGTCATGTCGAGTCAAAGGGCTCGAGTCCAAGTGAAGTCCCGAGTCACTGATGTTAAAGTCCAAGTCGAGTTCCAAGTCTCTTTACATTTTGTCAAGTTGTGTCTAAAGTCATCAAATTGATGACTCGAGTCTGACTCGAGTCCAAGTCAAGCGACTCAAGTCCACACCTCTGAGTGTAAATAAATGTTACAGTAAATGGCTTTACCTAATGAAAAATCAAGCAACTGCTACTTTTTCCACACGCCTTGAACCCTGCAGCTTAAACAATGATGCAGCTAATTTAGGGATTTTTAGCGGTATGAACTTAACGAAGTTCATACTGCTAGCCATTAATGACTTTTATAGCAGCGAAAGTTGAGAGCAGTTTGAGCCCTGTCACATTGAAGTGTGGCCCTGGAACAGATCACTAAGTCTCCCCTGTACGTTCCAACTATGGTCAGAGTGATGAAGCTAACGTGAGAGCTAACGTGTAACCAGAGAGCTAACGTGTAACCAGCCGTGTTACAGGCACTGTTCGAGAAAAAGCATTCATTTAATTAATATTATTCTGATGAAATATCCCACGTTACAACGTGGACACTTGTAGCTAATAGAGAAGTGCGGCTTATATATGTACAATAATTTTTTTCTTTTTAAATTTAGTGGGTGCGCTCGATAGTCTGGAAATTACGGTAGCTGTATTAAAAATGTATGTTATTGATTTTGTAAAACTCATCTCTCTTGTTTGGTTTAAAAGCAGGCTTTGATAAAAAGCTGTATTAGCCTCTCTCCAGTCTTTACCAATTTTTCCACCTGTCAGACTGAGTGGTGGGGACATGATGGTGTTTTACAAAACTTCATTCTTAAATTTACCCGAGACAAAAGATACAATAAAAATAGTACTTCAATCCAACCAATAAGCAGTCAAAAATCTGAAAATTCACTTAACTCCATTATATACATTATGAATACAGACCCACGTCAACACACCATGCAGTCAACAAAAACACATATTACCGCTAGTGGATGAATTTTGTATTGGCACAACAGCAGATGGAAGGGCATGAAGAAGAATCAGCATCAAAAGTCGTGCCATCTCTGGATCTAGAAGAAAGAAAGTGATGTGATGTTGACAGACAGGTAGGATACTGAAGAAATACATTCCCAGTCTGGTTCAGGACCCAAATACTGGACATACTACATGATGTTTTTTCTTTTATTAAAATGCATGTGTTTATAATCCATCCCTCTTCAACCGCCCCCGGGTCGCGGGGGCAACAGTCTGAGCAGGGACACCCAGACTTCCCTCTCCCTCGACACTTCCTCCAGCTCTTCGGGGGGGGCCCCCAAGGCGTTCCCAGGACAGCCGAGCGACATAGTCGCTCCAGCGTGTTCTAAGTCTTCCCCTAGGTCTCCTCCCAGAGGGACGGCACCCGAGCACCTCCCGAGGAAGGAGCCCAGGGGGCATGCGATGTAAATGCCCAAGCCACCTCCACTGACTCCTCTTGATGTGGAGGAGCAGCGGCTCTACTTCGAGCTCCTCTCGTGTGACAGAGCTCTTCACCCTATCTCTAAGGGAGCGCTCTGCCACCCTGCGGAGAAAGCTCATTTCAACCGCTTGTATTCGGGATCTCGTTCTTTCGGTCATGACCCAAAGCTCATGACCATAGGTGAAGGTAGGAACGTAGATTGACCGGTAAATCGAGAGCTTCGCCCTTCGGCTCAGCTCCTTCTTCACCACAACGGACCGATACAGCAATCGCATTACTGCGGCCGCTGCTCCGATCTGCCTGTCAATCTCACGCTCCATCCCACCCTCACTCGTGAACAAGACCCCAAGATACTTAAACTCCTCCATTTAAACTCCTTAAACATTCATAAACACGACACCTGGGTGCACAAGCCAGTGTTTCTATAGTGCCGATCCCAAGCTCAGATAAATGGTGAGGATTGTGTCAGGAAGTGCATCCGGTGTAAAACCTTTAGCAAAATCAAATATGCGTATCTCAAAAACCATTTCCATACCGGATCGGTTGGGGCCCGGGTTAACAATGACCCAGTCATTGTTAGAACAGTGCTGTTGACCTACAGGGTACTGGTGGAAATTGGACTACTGTTGGTCGAAGACAAAGAAGAAAAGGGGGACAAACGATTTGGACAAAAGAGAAAAGAGGAAGAATAGAAGTCTTGGTCTGAAGTTTGGAACTCTGAATGTAGGTACAATTACAGGGAAAAGTAGAGAACTAGTTGATATGATGGAGAGAAGAATAGAGATTTTGTGTGTGCAGGAGACCAGGTGGAAGGGCAGCAAGGCTAGAAACAATGTGGAGGCTACGAACTGTTTTATCATGGTTCGGATGGTAAGAGAAATGGAGTAGGGGTGATCCTCAAGGAAGAATATGCAAAAAATGTGGTGGAGGTGAAATGAGAGTCAGACAGGTTGTGTGTGAAGAAATAGAAAGAGTGATGATTAATGTTGTTAGCGGTTATGCCCCACAGGTGGGCTGTGAGTTGGAAGAAAAGGAGTACTTCTGGAATGAGCTGGATTGTATGATAGAAAGTATCCCCAGGGAAGAGAAAGTGGTGATTGGAGCAGACTTTACTGGTCATGTAAGGGAACACCTCACTACTGTTGTACTATTCTCATACATGTCCTGCACCAAACTAACATACTTCTCTGCCACTCCTGACTTCCTCATACAAAACCACAATTCCTCCCTTGGCACTTTGTCATATGTCTTTTCTAAATCTACAAATACACAATGCAGCTCCTTCTGACCCTCTGGGTACATCAAGGCAAATACTGCATCTGTGGTACTCTTTCTAGGCATGACACCATACTGTTGTTCACAAAGCATTACTGTTATTATTGTTATTGTTCATTATTGACTTACTCCAATTTATTTTATTTCTGTTACTATACAAGCAAAACACCTGAAAACACACTTAATCATAAAATATCGGGGATGACTTGATCTTATACTCACGATTGGGCCATGTACCATTTTTATTTCAAGTATCAGTACTTGACATGTCCCCACCACTGTTATAAATATATATCAGTGTATCATTAATAACAAAAAAGTTGGTAGCGGGTAGGCTATAAACCTATTGTGATTGTCTGAAAACGCTCACTCATAATCAACCAAAACCAAACTTTATGGTGTAATAGGATAGTAAAATTGTAAAATTCTGAACACAATACATTTTGTGAGTAGAGTTAGACATGGCCTACAAGACTGTTGAACCAGACATAATAATGCATTTATTTGCCTAAACTTTCGTTTTTTTTCTCTTGGACATGTTGCTGAGTGCTGAGCAACCCACGTGTGCCAGCCAACACTTAATTATTTATTAATTTGCTAATGACCACTCCCCTGCTAGCTATCAACGAATTGCATTGTAATGACAAATAAACTGCCAAAAAAGACAAAAAATGGCAGCAACTTGCCGTGTAATGACAAATAAACTGCCAAAAAAGGCTTGGCAGCAACTTGACAATAAGACTAGCATAGTGGTTTATTTAGTCTACAAAATGTACAAATCTATGGTGAAAATACCAAAATATCCACTGAACCAACACTGTCTACCTATACCACGTCAACAGCTGAGAGAAACTGCAGCAATGGTATAGATGTGAGACAGAAAAAAAGCCTGGCCTTTTCAAGTTAGCTGGAAAGGTAAATACGACAGGGCTGTAATCTCCCAGTTGACTGGTCGATTTATCAGGTGATGTGTTCTGGCTCAACTCAAATTCTGATTGGTCGGTTTTTGGTACTTTCCTCCTGATAAAATTAACATCGGTAGGAGGTATCAAGTGCCAGTGTATCAGAGCTATATATCAAAAGAACCAGTGGTATCAGCGATACCACTGGTACATATACCACTATATATGTAATATATGTATATATATACGTATATATGTATATACGTATGTATGTATGTATACATACATACATACGTATATACATATATACATATGTATATATGTATATATTCAGATATATATATATATACGTATGTATGTATGTATACATACATACATACAGGTACATACATACAAAGCAAGGTACATATGTGTGTTCAAAAGACCAGATGGAAAGGAAGCATGACCAGGGACACTGGAGGTGGTTTTAAGCCGTAGTGTAGATAGTACGGACGTAGGGATTATTTTGATAGAACAGTAGAATAGAATAGAATAGAATAGAGGTTGAGGGTGTGATTCTGAGCGTGTTACACAGCGCTTACACATCACCAGTTGGAATTTTGCAGCAAGCTAGACAAAGTGGTCGAAGGTGTGCCCGTGGACGAGAGAGTAGTCATTGGAGCATACTTAAATGGACATGTTGGTGAAGACAGCATGGGTGATGATGAGGTTCATGGTAGATACGGTGTGAAAGACAAGGATGCAGGAAGACAGAGACTTTGCAAAGAGGACAGAAATGGCTGTTGTCTGAGATACAGAGTGTAAAGTGGTCCCAGGGGAAAATGTAGCTAAGCAGCCCAGGGTGGTTGTGTTTAGGGTAAAGAGGAGCAAGTAAATGGTGGTAACGTAAAAAAAAAAAAAATAGTAGTGTTGCTAAGAGTTTTAAGAGCTCTGGATGATCACATTACTAGAGATAGAGACACCTCATGGTAAATGTCACAAGAAATGCCATATGTCCAAGTTTCTAAATAACAATAGACCCACGAATTACATGCTGTGTTCGGTCATAATATCTTCCCCAACGTTTATTACATACACATACACTGCAACCTCTATCTAAAAATGTTACTGTAAGTTCACAAACTAATATTCAATTTTGTGTTTGACCTTTTTTTTTTTTGATTTTGTATAAACAAGTTACTACACAACCAGCAGGGTTCCCTTGGTTAGGGGGAAGAGGGGGGGGGGATAATAGGTAGGTAATTGAGGTAATTGGTACAGCTAACATACGCTATGTTAGCTGTAATTATGCAATGGATAGAGGAGGATAGATGGAGGATAACAGAGAGAAATAATGGCTCCCAACAAGGCTTCTGCTCTCAGTATTATCTAGAACATAGGTGTCAAACTAAGGCCCGGGGGCCAAATGCGGCCCTCCAAGCCGTTTGTGTGGCCCATGAGAGCTTTAAAAAGCATTAAGTAAAGTCCATGCAGCAGTGTTTCATAACATGAGAAAAGAACATTTTTATATATAATAAATCAAATAATAATCAATTGCAGAAACATGTTTTAGTCTGTTATAGAGTAGGTACATCTATGCCAGCGGTCCCTGACCTTTTTGGTTCCAAGGACTGGTCTGCCAGTACCGACCGTTACTACAGACGAGTACCAAGGTGCTGAGCATTGAAGGATCATTACATTTTCAAAATAAAACATCTTGAGTCTGAATGATCTATTATTTTTAAAATATCGCCAGATTATCTTTAAATAAAGAAAGTAAATGGATATGACAGGATTTTCTGTGAATAAAGTAAATTAGTTAAAAAAACAAAGTATTACATCTCAGTGTCCCACTGCAGCCCGGTACCAAATGACCTATGGACTGGTACTGGTCCACGGGTTGGGGACCCCTGATTTATACAGCCTTCCATTTACATGGGGAACTGTGTTGCTAATGTGGCCCCCGGTGAAAATGAGTTAAGACACCCCTGATCTAGAATTCAAAGGAGGAGAGAACGAAAGAGGTGCAGAAAGAAACATATTAAAGTAAAGCAGCGCTCGTTTGGTTCGGTGATTGATCGATAGATTCAAGATGCTGAAACATATATTTATCCATCATCTGCCTAAAATACTGGCGCAGCGTATTTGTATTTAGATACTCTGACGTCATTTGAGCACTGGGAAAAAAAAAAAGCATTTGCAGGTGAAATAATGCTGATGCCTTGAAATACAGACCGTTGTGGCCTGTATTTTTCACAGGCGACCTGTGACCAGTAGAAACATCAAAATGTACATGTGTTACGACTAAAATATATGTAATATATGCATTCTTAATAGATTTCGAGCGTGGAATTTATAATAAAAGCAAAGCTAGCGCCTGAGCACATACGTGTACTTACGGTTGGATTCCTTGCCTGGATTAATTCTGGTCCTCCGTGTTCCTTGACAAGCTCGGCAGTTTCCAGCTATTTCATTAAAATAAACATGGATGGCTGTTTCACGGTGGTAATATGGCTGTATACATGCTTACCGCTCCGTGTGGTAACAGCGATTTGGCTTGTATTGGGGTTGTTTTTTTTTTTTCTTCCTGTCGCTTAATAGCTTCTCTCAGTATGGTAAGGTGTGGCAAAACCAAGTAAATGACCAAAAAAAAAAAAAATATTCAAAAATTAAAAAATACAAGCACTTATTTGAAACGCATCCTCCATCGGACACCGAGTAGCTATTCAGGTCACCACCCTCCCCTCCCTTTTTCTCTCCCTTACACTCCTGAGCTTTTCACAACGTCATGATGGAGCGTTACGGCGCCTGCCCCTCTCCTCTCATCTCTCTCACACATATCTGTTTATCTTCCTCTCTTTTTTCCCCCCCTCCTACACCCATTCCTCTCCAAAATACACGGCCGGGTATCGATAAACAATAACAACCACGGATATATACCTCATAAACCAATTACAATGTTTTTAATAAGATGAAAAGAACGCGGTGACACTATATTGAATGGTGCATTATGGCGCCGTTGTTTGCTATGGCGGGATATTGACAGTGACCACAATGTTAAGCGTCTTTAGAGATGAACACACGCAAGCGACAAAGAAGAATGTGCAAGTGGTTTCGTTGTGATGGGATATAGTGCACTGTATCCTGTAAGTCACGGGTCCCCAAACGCCGGCTCCCGGACCAATAGTGGCCTGGGGCTCATTTGGTACTGGACCGCAGCATGCCACAGTGATTTAAAGAGAATCAGTCATTTACTTTTTTTTCATTTAGAGAGAATTGATTTCAAAATAATACAGCTTTCATACTGCAGTAAAAACGGCAAAGTCTAAGTCTAAAATGTTTTATTTTGAAATTTTGAAACAATTTTTACCAAGATTTAACCATATCTATGTCCGTTGGCTTCATGGATGTATAAACAGGAGTAGAGTCGGAATGCCATTCATCCCTAAGGAATTTGCTTCCAAAGCTACCCCACGATGGCCCAGTATTCCATCCAGCTTTTACAAAACTACGGTCAGCTTCAAACTAGAATAGACGCGCAACCAATGAGAGGGAAATAGTACCAGTAGCGTCGACTAGTCCTTGATACTAAAAAGGTTTGCGAACACTGTTTTAAGATACTGCGCATTTTTATCAATGATGTTTGGTACAAAAGTACCCCCTGCAATCATCAAATAAAAATCTAACAAATTTCTATTGGTTTGGTTTGTGAGTGGAATTAGTGTTACTACAAGAACAAGTGTTTTGTTGTTCCTCCACAAGGTGGCCTTTATCTTTGTGATAATGTGATAATAATAATGTACATTTTTTTGGAGTATAAATTGGGATTTAAGCTCAACTTTGGGTGCACTTAAAGGGATTGGGACCATTCCAACTACAAAAATGTGGATATATGCAAAAACTGTAACATATATAGCTATTCTTTTATGTATGTACAGTACTTTACCACAGACATAAAGAACTAAACACAAGTGCAGTATAAATACAGTACCTGTTTAGTACCTATTCAAGGAGCGCAGGAACAGAGTAAGGGCTTGCAGAACACTTTTAAAAGTAGAAAACCAAACAATCTTTTTTTTAAACACTAACAAAGATAACCACTCTATTGAATCTATCTATTGAATCTATTGAATCTATAATTTTGCCCCCAAAGTGTATGTCCAGAAAAACTCTGTCCCTCCGACAAATATAGTTGGTGCCCCAAATCCTAAATGTTAAAAAAAATCTTAATTTTATTTTTGTAATTTTTATAGTTAGGGAATGGCAGGCACATCAAATTCAAAACTCGCCTTTTCGTAAGGTTTCTTTTTCAGGTAATTTTTGTGGCAGTACATAAGTCAATCCAAATAGACGTTCAACACAATGTTGCACCAACCGATTAAGCAGTTGTACCTTAGGAGTTGTAGTATTGTATTAAAAAATATATGTATATACATATATGTATATACACACACATCTAAGCAGTATAAATACAGTACCTGTTTAGTACCTATTCAAGGAGCGCAGGAACAGAGTAAGGGCTTGCAGAACACTTTTAAAAGTAGAAAACCAAACAATCTTTTTTTTAAACACTAACAAAGATAACCACTCTATTGAATCTATCTATTGAATCTATTGAATCTATAATTTTGCCCCCAAAGTGTATGTCCAGAAAAACTCTGTCCCTCCGACAAATATAGTTGGTGCCCCAAATCCTAAATGTTAAAAAAAAAATCTTAATTTTATTTTTGTAATTTTTATAGTTAGGGAATGGCAGGCACATCAAATTCAAAACTCGCCTTTTCGTAAGGTTTCTTTTTCAGGTAATTTTTGTGGCAGTACATAAGTCAATCCAAATAGACGTTCAACACAATGTTGCACCAACCGATTAAGCAGTTGTACCTTAGGAGTTGTAGTATTGTATTAAAAAATAAAAAAAAAACTGAACTCATCTTTAAAACATCACATCAGAAACTGCAAAAACAAAACGTGATCATTTCGTAAACATCGTCTGCTTCTGCAATAATTACAAATAAAAATAATAATTTATTGACTTCACAGTGCAATACAGAATTTAGCATTTGACCAGAAAAAATACGAAAGAAGAAATTATGAAGTCCTAAGCTAACATAGAAATACAACCATGTTTGTTGAACTATGATCAGAGACGTTGCTTCATTGAGTCATTGTTTTGAAAACAGTTTAACAAATGAACAGCAGTGTAGTGAAAAGGAAGCAACGAAATGACCAATCATAAAATAATGGAGTAATGGAGAGAACATCAATTTTTGTAAACAGAAATAATTTAGCCTTGCTGTGCTCGTCAAACAAAAAACATTGATTTCTAGTACATCCAATCAAAAGGGAAATTACAAGAAATGGCCGACACTGATTTATCAGTTTCATAAAATGTTCTACACCTAATGTCAACCCTAATGTTGTTTTTTTTGTTAAATCGACAGTGTCCAATTCGGCAGCAAAGCAGATAAGCTTCTGACCCGCGCTTTTGTATAGGGATTTTTCACTGGCTGTATTTCCGCATTTGCACCTTTTGTTTTTCTTGTGGAGTAAGAGGTAAACAAAGAATACATTATTACATTATTACTTATTTAGTTTATTTCTATACAACTCTGTATGCATAACTGTAATAATAGCTAGAGTATTTAAAGCATCAGGCTGTTCAGTTGCTTGTTCTAGTTGTTTAGACCAGAGGTGTCAAACTCGTTTTGGTTTAGGGGCCACATGAAACCTAATTAGATTAGCTATAAATATCAATAAGTCCATGGTTTCCCTTTCTGTTTTCATGCAAGGATGTACACATACAGTATAGGACAAACCTTCAGATTTCATGAAATATAACTTTCCAAAACATAACCTGAACATTAAGTGTTTGTGTATTTTTTTTTTGTTTTCATCAAGAGGGACGTATGTTTGACACCCCTGGTTTAGTCTGTCATGGAGTAAAACACTTAGTTATCCATTTTCTATATAACATTTTCTATTGGCCTTTTGAATAATCAGATCTAAAAATGATTTTTATTTATTACTTAGATATTAGAGCGTAATGATGCATCAAGTTCAGCTGACGGACGATATACATGGGCAGAGGCTTTAATAAACCTGACTTTAACAAACATGTTCACATACCTCAGGTCAAGAGTTAACCTGGTTTGTTTGGAAAACAGGAAGCAGAATAAAGACTACTACGACAGAAAACTTTGACAAGAAGTCTTTTTCTTCCAAAGTTTTTCTGCATGGAAAAAATTAGAAAGCAGTAGGTGTGGAAAAAAAAACAAAATCATGGAAAAAATTAGAAAGCAGTAGGTGGGGAAAAAAACAAAAACAAAATTGCACTTTCAATTTTTTTTTCCAAACAAGCAGTGCCTCTTTATATTGGGAATTACATCAGAGTAGCAATGTTATCAACTGTGATTAGTAAGTTTGCTATATATACATATATATGTATATACATATATACATATATGTCTATACACACACATCTACATATACACATAGGTATATATAAACATATACATATATGTTCTAATATATATATGTATATATATATATTACATATATATACATATATAAATATATATATACATATATACATATACATATATATATATACATATACATATATATACATATATACATATATATATATATTTGGTTGTGTGTGTGTGTTCTAGTCTCTGACTCAACTATTGAGAGTAAAGCTTGTAAATGCACCCTGAGAGTAACATACATAACACACAGGTAAAATAAACCAGGCAGCAGAGAAACTGAATTCATTTTGCACTCGTCTTGTCATTTTGTTCCCAACTGGATGACGGTAAATAACAGCTGACATGTTTGTTAATGGAGACACTCACACTAGGGTCATTCACTCAATAAAAAAAAAAAACGAAGGGCAATTCAATATGTCTTGCCATTTTGTTCATTCTTAAGATTCACACAAGAATACCTTTATTTTATCTCCTTTCCTTTCTATCGCCTTGGTTAATAACTTCCCCCAGAAACAAAATCAGTCTGTGAATAAACACGCTCATATAGTCAGGCAAACACAACAAGGATTCTAAAACAAATGTGAAGCTTGGTTGAAGGACCACTGCCAACTTTCGAACATGTCAGTCATGATAGAATTGTGCTTATATACTGTAAAGGAGGCCTTTGAACAACAGATGTTGATTCTGAAAGTAATCGGCAAACATCTGGGCTAGAATTTCCTAAATGTCAATGTAAATGTTTAATGGTAGTGTTTAAGGTATCCACTTGATTCAAGGTACGGACCTATGACTAAACAGACAACTGCAGTCAATGCCAAGGACATATTCAGCCACGGTAATAATTAAAAAAAAAAAAACTGCATGATCAGCAACGTGACAGTGACAGTAACCTATACCTGCTTTGAAGAGCTCGATCACCATTTTAAACTTCATCTGAAATTTTGTGCAAAACTTTTATGCAGGTGTATACATTTACTACAACCTCTCTTTTAGGTTGGTTTTTTTTTGTTTTGTTTTTTTACCTGTTTAAAACAAATGTCGGGAACCAGAAGCTTATTCTCAACAACGCTGATTTGTAGGAGGCAAGTCCCCAAACAGCGCGTGATAGTTGTATGATGAGTTGCTGGTTTTTTTCCTACATTTGCCTTAAACACTTAAAAAAAAACAGTGAAACAAAGGTAGTGTAGAGTTAAAGTACACACTTGCCAAAAACTTTGTACAACACAGTAAACTCCAAACACAGTAAGTACATGCACACAAGATAGCTTACGAGCTTTGCTTTTTATAAGTTCTTGTTAAATGTTTTCTCTTTATATTGTGAACGTTTTTGTTTTGTTTTTTTCTTACCATGCGTTTCTTGTTCATTTCCTATGTATAGCTATATTTTTAGATTTGCTTGGGCCTTTTTTTTCTTTTTTTTTTGTGGAAATTTCAATCCAGTGTTCTACTTTATGCATGTGTTACGAACGATCCACTAAATAAAATAATGCTGTCACGTGTGACAGCCTTACAGACTGAAGCTTCGATGATGTTGCTTGCAGAACTGCTGCTGCCGCAGTCTGGTGCTCGATTCTGGCAGCTTTTCATTGCCCTCTGACATCATGCCTCTGTCTTTCTCGCCCTCGTCGCCCGTTGTGCTGCTGACGTCGCTGAGGTCTCCCAGGTGCTCGACAGAGTCATACTTCTCCAAATCGGAAGCAATGGTTTGGAGGCTAATGACCGAGAGAGAATCGGACCCCACTCTCTCCCTCTCTTTGTCCTCCTTCTTATATTTCTCCAGTTGAATGGCTGCATCCACTTGTAATTTCCCGCTCTCAACCAAACCACCAAAGGCTCCATCTTCTTCCTGGGTTTTGGTTCCAGATTCTTCCCCGACAGGGGGACTTCGCCCAGTGCAAAAAGAATGGTGTCTTTCCAGATCCTGGTCACTGCCCCTTTGAGCGTGGATCTGATTGCTGATTCTCTCAAGGTTCCTTAAGGCAATAGAGTAGCGGTTCTTTACTTTAGCTACACGCTGCTCCAGCTGCAGCACTTTGGCTTTGTGCTCCTGGAGTCACACAAAGAGCACAGCATTTAGACTCAGCAAAGTCACAAAATCATTGAGTGGATAACACGTAGATGCTAAAAACATAAATAAAATTCTGTAACCGTGCAATTAAAAAAATTAAACTGACATGGAAGCGTAATGTCATGTTATGTTGGCAATGCAACACTTCACGTTAGCGTAAAACAAACGAGCGGATCATTGGTGTCCTCAACCACTCACCACACATGGGATTTTAGGAAAGTTGAGTTTTGTAAACAAGTGGGGTTTTTTTTATTTTTTTTTATGAGGCATTCGCATTTCTGCAGTCTCCTCCTGATCAACACAGATCTAGGACTGTCTTTATGCATGCCTGAACGGTAAACAAGCCTCCAGTCACTAGATGGCAGCAGAGCGGGCTGCCTGTTCAACCTAGTACAAGAAGTACATAAATACGGTATTTCAATTCAGGGGTTGAGGGCATTGCAGAAAATAATTCAGAATCTTCTGAAAGAACGTCTGAAAGACGAGGTTTTGTGGGCATTGAAAGCGATAAACTCCCACTACCGTAATTTCCGGACTATTGAGCAGACCTAAATATAAGCCACACCCACTAAATTTAAAAAGAAAAAAAATAATTGTACATATATAGGCCACAGGTGTCAATGTTATAACATGGGATGTTTACACAGAAAGATGTTACAGAGATGTTTTTTTTTTTCATTTTTAATTAAATAAATGCTTTTTTCCAAAGAGTGTCTGTAACACGGTAACACGTTAGCTTTTACCTTAGCTTCGGCCCTGACCATAGTTGGAATGCACAGGGGAGACTTAGTGATCTGTTTCAGGGCTGAAGCTAACGTTAGCTCCGGGGCTAACTCCCTTCACTTTGTGCTTGTCCGCAGCACAGGTAAACAGAAACAGAAACAACTCACACTTCAACACGACGGGGCTCAAACTGCGCTCAACTTTCGCTATCGTCACTTCAACATGACGGGGCTCAAACTGCACTCAACTATCGCTACCATTCTCTCTCTCTCTCCCCCGTGTCCCATGCACATATACGCACAAAGCCATTGATCGCTACCAGTATGAACTTCGTTAATCCATAAAAACCCATAAATTAGCTGCATCATTGTTTAAGCCACACTGTGTGTGTGTGTTTTTGCCTAGTACACATCAACATTTTTTACTGAAATGTGATAATTCATCGGTCTTGGATCTTCAAAGAAATGTTACGGAGAAACAGATGTAGTTGTTTAAATACTAAAACACTCTAGTGTAGGGTGACTTTGCTGCCTTTTTTCCCCCAGAAATAAAAAGGTAAAAGGCTTTGTTCAAAATTATCTTGCATTGTGTTTATTGATATTTTAGACTATGTATTGAGATATATATAAACATCAAAACTAGTGGTATCAAACATCTCTGATCTGAAACTATTGTTGCATTAGAAAACATCACGATAACCACCAGTTCTACAGTCAAGAACCTTGGTGCAATATTCGATCAGGATTTGTGCTTTGAGCCCCATATTTCACCACCTGAGTAGCATTAACAAAGTTAGAACTATAATTACATTAAAAGTTGCTAAAAAAAAATTAAGTTCATGTATTTGTTACATCAAGACTAGCCTACTGCAGCTCTGCTGTTAGGCTGTCCTAACCCTTTGATGCATGACCCATGATATACTGAGTTTAAAAAAAATGTTACTAAGTGTTTTTATGTGTTTTTAGACATAAAAATAAGAACTGATTTGGTTCTGTTTTTATACACCAAATTTTCTTTTTGAATGTTGACACAATTATTCTGCAGTTGCAAAGGCTGACCACTGTATGGCAGTGTTGGGTGATTCTCAGGCGTCCACTGTAGAGGCTTACATGCAACACTGCCATCAAAACCTATTCTTATCATAGAAAATGACAAATTTAATAGCTGTCCACTGTAGTGACCGTCATGCATGAAAGGGTTAATAAGTCTGTTTAAAGACTTTAATTTTGTCCCATAATTTCCCCAATTTTTTCCCTTTTCTTTTTGCAGGGGTACACAGCGATACTGACTCTGGATCTGCTGGAGAGTTCTTCCTGTTAAAAGAGGGAGTTTTTTTCCTCTCCACTGTTACTAAAATGCTTGGTCTCTCTGTGTAACTGTATTTTTTTGTATCTGTCTTCATTATTCATTTAAACTTGGCACAGACATTACCTCTATACACCACCATTTCCCCTCTGTTAAATGGGTTTTCAGCAGCATATGTCAAGTTTAAATTCAACATTAGTGTCGATTAGTTAGTTGGTTGGTTGGTTAGTTAGTTACAGTCTTTTATACAGTACCTCCAGAATGTGGTTGAACTGGGCCTTCAGCTCAAAGTAAAGTTTGGACTTCACAATGACTCTTTTCAGGGACTTCTGCAGTGTCTGAACACGAGCCTCAGCCTCCTGACATGCATGCGTGACACGCATGTGCTCTCTCTCACTCCGGAGCCTCTCCTCTTCTGCTTCGTTTACCTGTACAATATAAACGTAGGGCCAGATTATATGGCGCGAAGAGGAAACCGATTGTTACTAATAAGCAAACCAAACCAAAAAAATGAGTGGAAAATAATGCTGACAATATTATGATATATACCACGGGTGTACAGTGATCCCTTGCTATAACGCGGTTTACTTTTCACGGTTTCGCTACTTCACGGATTTGCATCGTGCATTGTGTTCTGCATTCTGATTGGCTAAAAAGTCACTCCGCTTCTTCTCTACCTGTGCGCCAATAACGTTGCGCTTTAATATGTACACGTACGCAAAACACCTTGCCAAATTGACATTACGTACGTGCAAATTCTCTTGCAATTTCGAGTTTATCAAACCCCATAATGTCGACAAAACGCTCTGGACCGGCAAAAGTACCTGCGGTAGGGACCAAAAGGCAGCGGAAGATGCTGTCTATCGGTGATAAAGTAAAACTATTGGACATGCTAAATGAAGGTAAAAGCTATGCGGCTGTAGGTCGGCATTATGGAATTAATGAATCTTCCGTTCGTTTGTGAAACAAATGGTTGAGACTGTAAAATGGTTTGTTCGTTCTTTCTCTTCTTTAGTATTATATTATAGTATTTAATTGTAAAAAAAATAAAGATTTCTACTTCACGGATTTTGCCTATCACGGGTTCTTTTTGGAACGTAACCCCCGCGAAAAACAAGGGTTTACTGTACTGCCCTTTCTTACCTTTGATGTGGCATGGTTGAGCATCTCCTGCCAGGTAGGATCCAGTGTGTTTCTACCATCAGCCATCAGGCCTTGTTCTGCCACGTACACCATTTCCCTGGCAGCTGTGTGCATAGAAACTGCTCTCTCATAGCTCAGAGCTGCCTTCTGGGTCTCCTGCTGAGCCTACGGGTAACAGACAAACGAATCATACGGTATGTGTAGGCATATATATATTAGGGATGCACTGAATATTCGGCCACCGAAAATTTTCCCGCCCAAATGGCCCAGAAGTGTATTTTCGGTTTTGGTCACAAAGACTTTTATCACCAAAACAACACAGCCAAAACAGGAAGATTTTGCGATTTGCAAAACATGCAATGCTTAATGCTAGGTGGCCGAGGACTCAGAGCAGCCCACCCCGCCTCGTTTACTTCACGTGTTGGTCGACTTACGTACGTACGCGTCTCATCGCGAGTCTTCCGTATTGTAAAGAAAGACGTTCGTATCGAAGCTGCTTGTGTCACTTTGCTGATTTTTTTTTTTTTTACATACTTTATACACCCCCGCTACGTGGGTACAAACTACAGGAGCCTGGCCGGTTGTGCAGGCGTAGCTCTTCCCCGATAAGGGCAGTGTGGTCAAATAGGCTTCATATTGTTGTATACACATATTCAGACTTTTTGTATATATATATTCAGACTTTCTGTATATATATTCAGAAAATCTGAATATATATACAGAAAATTAAAGCCTATTTGACCACACTGCCGTTATCGGGGCAGAGCTACGCTTGCTACAACCTGCAAGGCTCCTGTATCTTGTGCCCACGTAGTGGGGCGTAAAAAGTATTTTAAAAAAAATAACAGCAATGCAACACAAGCAGCTTTAATATAAACGTCTTTTTTATTCACTCTTCACTGCTTCTCTTATCCCTTTTTCTTTTCTTTCTTTCTTTTTTTTTTTTTTTACAGACCACACTTCACTCGCAACGCAGAAGAAAAAAAATTTTTTTTCGACCAGTCGACAAGGAACCTGTGAACAAATCAATATTTTAAAGACAAGTACAGTACAGTACACTGCGTCATATGACAGCTTTCAAACAAAATATCTTCAAAGTTAACATAAATCACTCTTTGCATTACACTGGACAGCATTATCAAATAATAATATATAGAAATAATATAATATATTCCCAAACAAGTATTTACAACAAATTAAAACCATTTTTTTAATCACCCTTATATTTTTAATTACGTTACTCTTAATTCCTCACAACAGTGAGCTTAGAGCTTTAACCATTATTATGACTGTAATCTGTTTTTATTCTCTTAAATGTATTTATTACATTTTCTATTACACAGCATTCACTGATTTTACTTTGTAATGACATTTGTAGGGGCTGTTTTATGGGGATCTCCTGTGCCACCTGGTCAGTGGTAGCAGGCATAGCACCGCCCCGATTGGGGCACTGTGGTCAAAAAGGTTTCAATTTTTTATATATATATATTCAGACTTTCTGTATATATATATTCAGACTTTCTGTATACATATTCAGACTTTTTGTATATATATATTCAG